CAATTGTTGCCATGTCCAATCACAGCTGACAGCTGCTTTATTCCATTAATGCCTTTTAAAATAAACATTTTGATTTGATTAATTCTAGGCCTATGTTTTAAATCTTAGCAAGACAAGTTTATATGTAGTATGTGCATATTAAATTATTTAATCTGTATTTTATTTTTTAATTTATTTTATTTTACCCTTTCTTTCATTTTAATTTTCAGCACTTTTCAAGATAAAATTAAAAGGGCTAAAATATTATGACATTATTTTTTTCCCATATCATAGCAATATTTATCACAATATTAATTTACCATTATTATGGAAGGAAATGCTTTGAGTATGCATGTAAACATAACATCTTTTTTACCCCCACATTCTTTCAAGCCAACGTTTAATTTAGGGCCCCATGAAATTCACTTTATTTTTTCCCTATATTATGTGTTTTCCATTTGATTTATTTTGTGATTTATGATTTAATACACATTTATCATGAAAAATGATGTCTCATGAAATTAATAATAATATAATAAAATATAACAATTAATTTACAACAATTTTTATTTTTGTCAAATAAGATGATGCACGACAAAACAATGTGTTTGATATTAGAACATGAATGAAAAATATTTGGGTTGAATGATATTCCTTACAAATAATAGTAATAGTATTAGCCTATTATTTTGAGAAGTACATATTATTAAATCATAGTAGCTCATATATTTCTGTTCACATTTCTTCACGTTTGTCATAAGATACAGTGAAAAGATCTTTCGGAGAGGCTCTGGAGATGAAGTTCATAAAGTGCGAGGCGAACGCTGAAATCACCATGAGCTTCACATGTGTTTGAGTTTGTAGAGAAAACTATGGCATTTAAACAGACACGCAGAACGTGCAGACTTATAAGCGACATACTTTGACTGGTTTTTGTCATGTTTATATGTGCTGAGTAAAACCCTTAAAGGTGACATATCATAAAAATCTGACTTTTCCAGGTTTTAAGTGCTATAATCAGGTCCCCGGTGCATCTACCAACCAAGGAAACGTGAAAAAAGATTAACCCAGTAACTTTGTTTTGGTAAGCCTTTTTCTGCAAGCGTCTGAAAAAACGAGCGCATCTGATTTCGCTCCCTTGGTGACGTGGCAAAGGGATCTCATTATAATATTACCGCCCCTTAATCTGTAAGTTTACACCCATAGTGCCGTCATTTTGATTTTGCAAACGACAATGGTGTAATGCCATGGTGAAAGTTTGAGCAAAACATGCTAACTTTTCTGTCTTTGGCTGCACAAATGAGCACAGAACACTATTTACAGTCCCAGCCTCAGAGGAGACAAGAGAGCAGTGGATTTATTGATTTATTTACTGTATATTTCTGCTGCCACACAGATCTAAAATAAACATGCAATTTATTTCCCAGCTGTTTACCTTCACAGACATAACCGACTGTTTTTGTAACTCGTGTGTTTTTAACGTAAACTTGTGTGTGAATGAGAACTTAGTTTAGTACTCACATGCTGTGATAGCCACTTTCTGTCCGTGTGCTTCGGATGTGTGCACTCAGAAAACCGTATATCATAAGTTTAAACTAATATGGTTTAAAACACATGATTTCAGCGCGATAAACATGATATTCTGAACCAAAACAGATGTTTTTTAGCAGATAGGAGCTGTTAAGGTGCAGCTCTATTCTTGAAAAGGGGCGGGGAGCAGCAGCTCATTTGCATTTAAAGAGACAGGTCCAAAAAACAGCGTGTTTCTGCTTCCACTCAAAATAGGCATTTTCAAAATTATATAATAAATGATCTGTGGAGTATTTTGAGCTGAAATTTCACAGACACATTCTGGGGACACCAGAGACTTATATTACATATTGTAAAAAGGGGCATAATATGTCTCCTTTAACATCTGCTGTGCTCTGGGTGAAACTCACGTAATAGGTTGTGATGTGACATCCTCTCCATTCTTATGTTGCCATGTTTGTATTCCAAGTATAATACACATTAGTAAAAGGATCTATTTGAATTTTTATTTGTCTATAGATACACTTTAGGCAGCCGCGGTACATTATAAAAGTAGCCCAAAAAACTGCAACCAGTGGCTCTGCAATTTTTCCTGTGACTGCATTTTCAAAATAGCCCAATTGTGCGGAAAACCTTGACATGGAAACACTGAGTGCGCCTAATTAACCCCTTCCCCATAATGCCAATTGTTTATAGGCCACATATTAGGCACTTTTTTTTAGGGTTTTAATGTTTATTTTTCAATGTTAATGAAAGTGACACTGGGAGTTAAAAACAGGAATATCATTAGGAAATCCTTGGGAGGGCTGTGCCGGGGCTAAGCAAGTTTCTGACGGGGCTATAGCCCCATCAAGCCCGCCCTAGCACTGCCACTGAATGAATGCATAATGCATTATTAAAAAAAACATATAATATGTTGTTTCATCTCATAAATAATCATAACAACAATTATAATACATTATAAAACTTACTTATTTGTGGTTATAACTTTGTGAGTATGATTATTTATAACATGCAATAAACACCATATTAAATCCACTTAATTTATAATGGGTTATTAGTCTCATATCTTGACATTATTTACTTAAAGGGTTAGTTCACCCAAAAATGAAAATTAGGCTACATTTTACTCACCCCCGAGGCATCCTAGGTGTATATGACTTTCTTCTTTCAGACGAATCCAGTCGGAGTTATATTAAAATGGTCTTTGATCTTTCAAGCTCTATCATTGCAGTCAGTGGGTGTTGCATTGCTTCAGTCCAACAGAAGTTAAATAAAAAGCGCCCATCCATAAAAAAAAAAGGGGGTCGGGGAGGGTGAACAAAGGCCTCCTGTAGCGAATTGATGCATTTTTGTAAGAAAAATATCCATATTCAAAATGTAATAATCACTTTAATCTAGCTTGTGCTCACAGTTGTACATGGAAGCAGCTCCGGGCGGCTGACGAATGAGGTCAGCACACTCACCCCCGAGGCATCCTAGGTGTATATGACTTTCTTCTTTCAGACGAATCCAGTCGGAGTTATATTAAAATGGTCTTTGATCTTTCAAGCTCTATCATTGCAGTCAGCGGGTGTTGCATTGCTTCAGTCCAACAGAAGTTAAATAAAAAGCGCCCATCCATAAAAAAAAAAAGGGGGTCGGGGAGGGTGAACAAAGGCCTCCTGTAGCGAATTGATGCATTTTTGTAAGAAAAATATCCATATTCAAAATGTAATAATCACTTTAATCTAGCTTGTGCTCACAGTTGTACATGGAAGCAGCTCCGGGCGGCTGACGAATGAGGTCAGCACTGCGCATGCGCCGGTGAGTCTCGTGAAAACCAACGTTTGTTTACAGGATCAAAGGAAGCAAAGTTTCCTTACTTTAGCGAAGGAAAACCAGTCTCCTCTTGGCTTCTTATACACCTAGGATGCCTCGGGGGTGAGTAAAACGCAGCCTAATTTTCATTTTTGGGTGAACTAACCCTTTAAGATCTGTACAGTATCTTACTATCTTACTGATATTACAATAAATATAGATAAAATCAAATGTGCCGTATTACACATTCATCTGATCAGATATCTGATTTAAGAAGGCTGTTTTATTTGTATTATTATTGTTGTTGTTATTTATAAGTAGTCTTTGTCTGGTTTAAGTAAAGTAACAAGTTAACGATGGCAAGATATGAGACTTATAAATCATTATATCTATGGGAAATATAATCCATTGTAAGTTAATTGGATGCAATGTGTTCAATGTGTATTATAAATCAGCATACTCTTAAAAGCTATAACCACAAATAATACTCATGAGATGATAAAACATATTATAAGGTGTTTTATTTCTTTAAAATAAATGATTGATTTATGAATTGTTTAATTATGAATTGACATTTTTATACAATGTTATGTATATTGTATATTATATTGTAATTTTATTTGAAAAATAATGTATATATATATTTTTTATAAATAAATAAATTCTTAAAATACAAGAATCCTTCATAAAAATTACGAATTATTGCATGTCTAAAATGATCATAGTCTAAACAGAGTGAAATAACCAAAAACCATTTATTTTGTGGAAATATATGTATATACTGTATATATATATATATTTAATCATTTTTATCAAATAAAATGATGATGATATATATAATATTATAGATTTTTAATGGACTATTTTTTTATTTTTTTGTATTTATCGTGCATCTGTATAATTTAATTTTAAAATGTCTGTACTAATGTTACATTTAAATAAATGTTTAAATATTAATACATAATTTTAAATAAATAATTTTAGATAATAAAATAAATATTAACAATTTATTAATAAATATATTTATTTAGAGTAATAATAAAACATAAATATATTAAAACATTTTTATTTCTTGTTTTGTGTGTGTGTGTGTGTGTGTGTGTGTGTGTGTTTGTGTGTGTGTGTGTGTGTGTGTGTGTGTGTGTGTGTGTGT